AAAAAAACAAAAAAAACAAAAACAAAACGAAAAATTGTTAATGAAACATTTACTTTATAAGTGAAGAGAAACGAGGATATAAGACTGTTTTTTATTGTGGTCTTTGTTCAGTCACCAAAAGATTGAGTTACCGACTGATGGAAAAAACATGCTTGTATGCCCACATACCAGTTTTCTCTCTGCTTTCCTTGAAGTGGTCCATAAAAACAGGCATAACAACAGCATAGCACTGTAGCATCCCAAACACAAGACCCAATGAGAGACACCCAGAAACGCACACTAACCAGGACCAGGCGCTGTCCGTTGTGCGGGGAGAATGGGGCTTACTAAAGCACAGTTTCATCCTTATTTGTTGTTTCTGAAGAATTAAAATAGTCCAAACTCAATCATATATCAGGGATCCTAGAGCATCTGTTATATGCTATGCTTTAACTGCTAATATTGGTTCAACATTTATTTTGAGAAGTAGTCAGAATTTTAACCTTTCTTTAATTTTTAATTTGAAACTCGTTCCCAAGTGTCGGACCTAAGCCTCGTTTTAAACCCAAGATAAAATCAACATCAAATATATACGAAAATAGTAAATAATTAATTTAAAATGCATTAATTTAAAAATTACCCTTTATTGAGTGACTAGAATGACAAAAGTAAGCAATTTATATCTAGGCTACACGAAATATGGGACTAGAACTGGTCTCATTCATTTATGAAAGTTTGAAAATTTGAAACAATAGCTCACTAATTATGAATGCATTTCAATACAAGCACCACACCACGAACATGCAGTTTTTTAAAACTYGTAAATAAGAGCATGATACTTTAATACTCAACAGTATCGCGACCCTCCTATAAGTTTGATCGAGAGAGAGCAGCCAATATAGACCCGTATTGTCGGCTCAGAAATTACCGCGCGTGATTGGCTCATGAGATTTGATTGACGGCGAAAACAGCACTTTTTTGGTATCTCAGTCTGGTTTGTGAATGCAACGGTTCACATTGGAATCTCAACGTCGATGGCGGAAAATTTATTTTTTACATGTTTTACATCCTTTTTTACAACTTTGATCTTCATAACTTATTCCCTGACTTGTGATACACAAGGATAAGAACATGATATGCTGTTCCTACGCTTTCTGCTACAGGTGAGTGAAAAACAACGCCAAATATTTGTTTTCATTCAAACTAAACTTTGGAAGAAAACTCAACTTTTAGGTTATTTCATGACAAAAATAGTTGTAAAATCATATAAATTTTCTTATTAACTATTTGTTTTACAAAGTAGAGTAATAAAATTAATTCTAGTGTTAAAAGTACAATCAAAACAGGTAAGACTTACGAAAAATCTCCTTTTTTGCAAAAACTCAAAAATGTGCTCGGCAATTTTCCAAAAACCGTTGCTAGGGTGACCACTGTTAGGTAGTGAGAATTTCAAAGGAATGAGGCTTTTTTATCGCTTTTTTCTTCATTTTAAGATTTAAGAATAGGAGGATCGCGATACAAAACTTATTGCGATTTTGAGCCGACAATACGGGTTTATATTGGCGGCGTTGGAAGAAATAGAGGATATTACATGGGCGCGCGGAGATACGAATTTTATCTTCGAGTGTTGAAAAGATCTCTCACGAGTGAGCGCAGCGAGAAGATAAATTGCGTATCTCCAAGCGCCCATGTAATATTCTGTTTATTGTATAATTATCAATGAAGTATGTTTTGGCTTTTTCAGGCAATTCTTTCCGTGTATTTTTGAATAGCCATCGCAATGGTGTTATTTTCACACGCGAAAATAACATGTTATTTTTACGTGTGAAGATATCAATTTTTCGAAATAAAGAAAAATAGATATTTCATTGGTAATTATATAATAAAATATATTCCGTATTGGCCTTCGTCGCTTCGCGACTACGGCCAATACGGAATATATTTTCTCCCAACTAGCCGCCAATATAAACCCGTATTTGTCAGCTCAAAATCGCAATAAGTTATAATGATTTCTCACTAGATACCAAATATCTAAAACATCTATTAAACCCTGTCTTGGTAAAATAGTGGTTATTTAATGCGGGTTTTTAATGCATATCAACAAAAAAAAAAGAAGAAAACCACATAAATTTGAGTCTCCTTCGCGGCTGTCATTAGTTATCGCCGATTGGTGTCATTTTACATCCAGCTTCAAAACACTGGAAAAGGACCTTAAATTCGCATAGAAACATTCCTAACTCATACCTCAACAGGTTTATAATATAACATTTTATGAAAAATCATAATATCATAATTTGACCCCTGGCTCCGTGAAAGACTTGAAATCCGTAAATCACGAAGAAAAGCTTCACTTGCTGATATTTTAATAAACTAAAAGGAAAAAAACAAAACAATGTAGGATGGTTTATTGTAGCATTACTTATTAAAACTGAGAAGTAAATCAAAAGATATAATCATTTTGAAATCTGAATCCCGTGCGTAAATATAATGTATAATTTAAAAAGCCAAGCTAATTTATGGAATTTAGTTTCGTTAAAGGTGTGAATTCTACCTGTAATATTTGGTAGTCATAGAATATATTAACCAATGTGTACGGGAATGTAATTCATTCGACGTCTTACATGAACGAATTGATTACACARCAATGCAATCTAGATTATATAGGTGGTTCACTTGCATAACATGATGACTGACATGTGTCATATATTGTACTGTCTTTTTATCCCAGCAAGAAAAAATCATCAATCACCCAAAATCGCTTTACAACCGCTTTAGTTTTCGCGCTAAAAGATACATGGTTACGAAATTTCAGATGCAAATATCTCGATAACTACTGATAGCACCAAGTTGAAGCCTAATCACTTGAGGTTTGATAAAATTCTGATTCTGATTATTCCAAAATGAATAAAAAAATATGAGGTCACGTTAGCCTCTAGTACCACCTTAAGAAAGTGCCAAACAAAACCATATAGTGATAGATTGACAATGACACAACTCAATGTCAGTTCACGGTTCGACTGTCCTAGCTCACTGTAAACATAACATGATTTTAGATAATTCATATCAATGTTTGATTATGTTTCCACACTTCATTGGTCACGCTTGCAATTTCCAGTAGTGGTCATAAATTTCAAAGCGTATTTATTAGTGAATACCTGACAAAATATACAAATTATGTGATTATTATCATCTAGCAATGTTTTCAAAAGACAGATGAGCCATGATTTTACTTTAGGCATCGCTATTAGAGGCTTACCTTAATATAACTAGCACTGCTGGAGCCGAGATGTCACTCGATGTGCTTCGCTACGACGGAGAAAGAGAATCTAGGGCAAAAATTTATACGAAATATTTATATTTTTGATTATATATTTTTACGTCGCTGTTTATAGACGCGTTTACCTCATATAACAAAATACAGCTTTAACAGACATACCAGAGATGTCGCGCGATGTCTTCCAGGACGATGGAGGGAGAGAGTCTAAAGCCCACGTTCCAGGAAGGTGAAAGCTTAATGCTTTAAGAGGAAATCCTTTCAAAACATTTATAAATATGTTGCTCAATTGGACTAAACTTCGACTGCATAGAAGGTCCGTAATATGGCTTGCCTGCAAATGCAAAAGCCTAGTTTATATATATTTGCATAAGAGACAACTTGCGTCATAAATCAATCAATATAAACAATAGGCGCCTTGCATGTGATGCTATTGTTTTGTCCCTCAGATTGGTAAGTGCAGCAAGGGGTCTATATAGCAACCTGATAGACAATAGAAGACTGTGAAACGTATTTTAATCCGCCATCTTCATTAAAAATTAAAATAAAAAAATAAAATAGAATAAAATAAAAATAAAAAATAAAAATAAAAATAATATAAAAAAAAAAAAGAAAAAGAAAAAGAAAGAAAGATATAAAACTAAGGATTTCCACCGTTCGTTCTTTAAAAAATAAATGTCGTTAAGAATAATTTTTACATTGATGAGATTCAACTCGTCCAATAACGTATATATAACAAAAATATATTGCATATTTTTTCGGTCTTAATTTTTTTTAACCATTCCTATATTAATATTCATTGCCTATTGCCTATTGCTATCTGTTTGGGTTTAAAATTTTTATTTCGTTATGATCCTGGCTGCCTAATGTTGAGCAAAACACTTATGAAAAGATGATTTGTCTGTTCCTTCGTCTTCGTGGAGTTGTCGGGAACTTTGACGTCATCATCGGCGGAGGTCGGAGATATATTTTCATGTATAGTAACGCAATCTTCTTCGACGGCTAAATTCACATTAGATGCTATATTTGTGCCATCTTGAGTATGTCCTTTATCCTTCATTTCCAAACCTGCAACCCTCTCATCTTCATCAACAGTTTGACGGTTGTCCAGAATATCTCTGTGGTCTGGGKATTCATTAGTTTCTATTTGCGTTGGCTGTTCTTCCATTTCCAGTGTCCTCCATGGTTTAAAGTAATATTGTAAAAAGGGAATAGCAATAACATTGGTCCCGCGGTGTAAAAGGCTGGTTTTTTACGAACCAGTTGTGTCGGCGATAAAACCTATAAAAATTGAAAGATTTTCAAATCAAAACTATTCGATTTGGCAACTTGTCTTACACGGCGTTGTTTAATAGCTGAGCAACATAAGTTGATCGCCATACGTACGCATCACCCTTCGAATTCACTCACGTGATTCCCTGTTTCCCCAAGGTATGTACAGCACATGCACAGAAACTACCAATTAGAGGAGCTCCTGTAAAAATCACCTATGGCTGACACCATAATACCAATAGGAAACAAGTATAGTGTAGTCCATCACCCTACCTACTAGGATACCTTTAGCCGGTGAACAAACACCAATCGATATGAAAGGTTTGGAGGCCTGGTCAGCTAAAATACCGACTTCAAGACAATATTAATATTAATATCAATAAACGAAGATTAAAAAAACACTCGAAGAGTGCACTGGTAGACAAGCTACAGGACACGATAAACGCAGAGAAATGGCATGGTCGATTTCTCTCATCGCGCTGGAAATTGATAAAGAATTTAGTCAAGATTCATTTTTTGCATGGATGAAGGATTGGACGACTGCACCAACTCATACAGTTGCTGGTATGATGGAGCTGTATGAACAACTATTGCCAACCAAAGTGTATACGTCACACAAGACCAAAACAACTCAGGGAGATGTAAGCTGTAGGCTGTGCGGTAAAGAAGCAGAGACCCTTTCACACGTTCTGTCAGGATGCTCTGCACTGGCTCAATCATAGTACTTGGACCGACACAATGCTGCTCTGAAGATATTATTCTTCGAGAAGTGCAAAGACCTTAAATTAGTGGAAAGTGTTCCTCCTTGGTACTGACCTGTGACTCCAAAACCTATCTATGAGTCGGATGATGCTAAAGCTTTCTGGGATGTACCGGTGTATA